TGTTGTCATTGTCTCAGCTGTAAAGGCATAGGACTTCTTCCCCTCGAGCTCATGAACGGCATAATGTCCTTTTGCAACTGTATTTGTCACCTACCTCTGGCCCTTAAGCTATAAACAAAACAGGCACAAGTAGTTCATCTCCCTGCAATCTTTCACTATTGTGGAGGAACATGCTGTTCAGCTACGAGTTCAAAGATCTGTGGCTGATTTGCCTTTAATCTTCTGTTCTGCTTTTGGAATACGCAATTTAAAAACTGGAAGTGTTTTTCCTGGCTAAGGATCCTTGACATGATGATGTTGTCCATCTTTCTGAATATTTCCATGGTATTTTACTGCACTAATGGATGCTGATGTACATCATCATAACCCTTCGGACACAGGTTGTGGTCCCTCCCTTTTCTGAGCTCTGTCCACAGACGATGTTCCCCCACTGTAGCATAGTCCTGCAGCTCTAGGACTTTGTCTTGTAATTTAAGATTCAAATTTCTGGGTCCTCTGTTGAAGGCTCAAAGTCAGCCAACAGGGAAGGAGGACTTCTCTGAGGGTGAATGCCGTTGGAATGACGCTTAGGGACTGAGCGCAAGATCTCTGATGTGTAGGAGGAGTGGGAACTGCATGGATTATGTAGTTCCGTGCTCTAGTTTGCACAAGCAATTAGCTAATTTCATCTCACAGTTCTGGCAAATCTGTGGGAAATAACGCTAGGAATAAATACATTTATTATTTTTAAAGTAAAGTCTTAAACTCATAGTGAGGTGCACATAGGATTAGCTGCTAAACAGAGGGATTAGGAGGGCATCCATCTTCTTTCAGCCAAACCCAGTTCCCTTTTACCAGGCCCTAATCCCACCTAAGTGGCCTCTGTTCTGTGTGTGGTGCTTGCCTACTCCAGGCTCCCTAGAGAGACATTTTACGGGTGAAGAAACATTTCTCCCTGCATTCCCCTGGTCTGGAGGGAGTCTGTCCCTTCACGAGCAGCGGTGGCTCCAGCCAGCTGAGCAGCACGGCAGGCCCAGCTGTGCTGCTGTCACACAGCCCTCCCCACCCATCGCCGTGCCACTGGGGGATCCTTGTCCTTAACCCCATTAATTCTACCACAGCAGTAGCTGTGTGGTGGATGCAGCCTTGCATGTCTGGTCATGTGAGCAGAGCTGATGAACTGTGGTTTTGAAAATGTGGATTAAGGACACTTCTGGTTTTTTTATTCCCCGAAGAGCTGCCGTTCTATGGCATTTGTTCTATAAACCCAGATAAAAATCTTGTTCATATTTTTCAAGTTTATATTTACTAAAGGGTTGAAAAATAGTCACAATGACAGTTTAATTAATGCACACCATTAATCCTGGAGATAATCAAAACCCTAATAAGTCTCTAATCTTGTAAAAAAGAATTAGAAAGCACTGAAACATCTTTTGCTATCTGTGAACCTTGTAATGAGATGTTGCATGCTTGGAGGAGGAGCCATGGAAAGGAACAATGCCAGAGGACATATTCTCAGCAGATTTCATCACTGGACTTCTTGTTTGATGTTGTTCTTGGCAGAAAGGTTGCAAGTGGAATCCATAGCCATCAACGCTGTTTTCAAAATTTGTCCTTCTGCTATCAATGTATAAAGTTGTTCTAGTAATTCGTGTGTGTAAAGTAGGAGAGCTTTAGCTTCTCTACCATGTTCCTTTAAGTATCATACATTTAAAGCACTAATTCAATTTTAATGCTTGTAGACCTTACTAGTTTCTTTGCAGTGAATCATATGTGTGGCCAATATGCCATATATCTATTATTCAAACATAAAAAAAAAAAAATCCAATATTTCAAAGTTTAAAAAAAAATACAGAAAATGTGACCAACTTCAGTGATCTATTTTTTCTGGAGCTTTGTCTTAAATTCAGTTTTCAGCACAGTCTATATCTTTATACTTGTATGTGTAAACTGCAGTTTATGCGTTGTTATTTATTACCAAGAAATGTCAGTGAAACTGCTTTGGAAGATGCAGTGGCTCACAGATTGAGAAGAATTTGAGGAGCTCAAAAAGAAGTGCTCATTCTTTAAAACCTGAGTTCAGAGCAAATTGTAATGTGGAAGGGCAAAACATCCCAGTATCTACTGCTCCTGGGGGGACCTGGGAACCGGCTGGGGCTGGTGGGAAGCGTGATGGGAAGGAACAATAATAAGTATTGCTTCGCTTCCTCTCCAGAGACCCAAATAAAACTAAATTTTTCTTCTGGAAAGGAGGCTGGGGGCAGCAGTCTGCTGCAGGGGGAGGGTTAAGGCTGGGTGAAAGCTTTTGCCTGGCTCCCAAAACAGACTGAACGATGGAGGAGCCAGAGCAAAACTGGGTTAAATAAACCTCTGAGGGCTGGGAGTGAACTCCTGGCAGGCAGGCAGGCAGGAAGAGGGTGAAGAAAATGAGAATATTTGTGGCAGGGTTGGAAATATTTTTTTGTCTTTCTTTTTTTTTTTTTTTTTTGAGGGTTGGACTAACGTACAGTTCAAGAAGTGCCAATAAGCTCATGGTTCCTGTGCTGCAGGTTAGCTAACAGCTGTGTTGCTTAGGCAGTGCCTGTGCAAGCATGAACATGACACATCCCTTGAGTGCAGGGCACTTTGGGCAGGTGGGCTGGGGAAAGGGGGCACAGGTGGGGTGAGGTGGTCAGGGTGCTGCAGGCCCTGGCTCTGTATGTGCAGCTGCAGGCAGGGGTGTGGCCT